TACCGGCCTCGAGCGGCCCGCGGCCTTCGCCTCCCCGCGTCCTGACGGGCAGGATCCTCCCCGCTCCCGGCGTCCTTCCTGCCGCCGCGATCTTCCCCTTCGCTTCTCTGGGCCCCCTGCTTCTCTCCCAGGTCCCGCTGTTCGGGAACCCCTCCTTGCGCCACCAGCTCTTCCCTCTCCCACATCTGTTCATCGGGGAACTCAGGACATGACACTTATCCTTCAGTCCCAGCGTTGCCAGCACTTACTGCCTACAACTAGCATGTTTGTGCGTGCGGGTTCAGTGGGAGACGTTGACTCCTCCCATGCGTCCGCCATCTGTTTCAGCATCTGCAAGAAGCTGTTCTTCTCCCTCCCCCCTGCCCCCAACCCCTATGACAGCTTTGTGCCTACCACTTTCTTTTTCTGTGCAGAGACAGGGGTGAAGGTGCTGGTTTTTAACTGAGAGGTACTCCCGGCTTCAAGCGCCACGCTGCCTTCAGCGTAGGAGCACAAATATGAGGTAGGAACCCAACTGCTTTTCACACCTCAGGCCACTTGCAAACGCCTTTGACAAGGGAATAGAAGACACATAATACTGCAATGAACATGACCCTAGGTAGTCCATCAGCCAAAAGACAGCGTTAGTGTACTTCCTCCCAGGAACAGGCTTTCACTGCAGCTTACTACTTTTGAAATAACAAAAGAGAAGTGTTGCAAGTCCCCAGCCTTGGGGAAAAAAAATACAAGCAGTGTTTGCACATTACCAGACTGCTGAAGCGTTAGACACAAGCAGGCTTTACCAGTTGAGCGCCTTTGCACAGACGCAGGCAGCCCATTGCTCTGCCTGTTGTCACTCGGTTCTTGTGTGCAAGCAGAGTGCTGAGCAAGTCTCCAACTTAATGCTTCTGGCAGCACCACTGGTACCGTTCAGCTGCTTCTCCCATAAACAGCACTGGATCTCAGGCAGAGAGGGAGCGTAATACACACCCAGATCAGTTTGTCTTATCCCAAGTTGCAGGGCTGTGAATCCTGCAACTCTGTTGAAAAAACGAGTGCTCCTTAGGATTCATGCAATAAATTATTTTAAAACAGGTTGGTCCCATTCTGGATGTTTACTCCTAGAGAAAGATGGGTGATACACAAAATTCCTTGCATGGTTGCCAGTAACTAACTCAGTTATCCTGCATTTGGAATTTGTGATAAGGCCTTCAAAACTAAAATCCCAACTACCCTGCCTGGACATCTGAAATAATGCAGTAAGCTGAGAGAGTGAGTGATCTACATCATGCATGTTTTGGTCAACCTCTAATGCTTCTGTTCATCAGTGATGAAGTTTAAAATGAAGACCAGGAAACAGATTTCTGCACAGCAGAAGTTATCAAAACCATGGACCATGCAGCAACAACAGACGACTTACCACCACTGAAGACTGAGGTGGACTGGATAAAGGAGTAAAGAATGTTCAGAAAAGCAACAACTGTACATTAACTGATAAATTAAGTAATCAGAGCTTTTTATGTGCAATTTATCACTTACTATTTCTCTACATGCCTTCTGCTACAATTAGAAATCTGATTTTATGAATAGTTTTCTGTAGCATGGATATTTTACCAGACCACACATGGCAAGAATCTTTTCTACCCTGCAGTGGTTTTTCTGATTTACACACAATGCCAAAACAAAGACAAGACATTTCTTTTTTAAAATGAGAAAAGGGCTTTAACTAAATTTGCCTACACCACTGCAGTATTCCCTTATTATTTACTTTGCTGTTCCATTTAGTCTTATACTTTTCCCATGTTCACGAGTTGTGGATGTAAGCTAAACGTTCAGTGGCTGCACTGGGAAAAAAGTAGATACTAACTCTGAAAAGCAGAGGAATAGATTAGATTTT